CCCCAAAACCCCAAAACCCCAAAACCCCAAAACCCCAGACAATATGATATCATCATTTTTATCATTAAAAGTATTTTAATTAGGTTTAATCATTTTGAATATTAAAATAGTGCAGAATTAATAATTCTTAAAATGGGAAACAGCAATAAAAAGCGAGCTTCAGACAAGTCCTTTGAACTTGAAAACTCCATGCATCAAAACAAAAAAAACCTAGATATTCCAGTCAAGTTCGATTAAAGGTCCAAAAGTGTGAATGGCAATAGAATCTTACAGCCGCAGTAGTAGTAGCCTAACTAGAGCTAAATATAGCAGAACTTGCAAAATTAAAACTAAAATGTAAATCAGCAATGGGATTAACCTCAGCAGCAGGTTGCTAATGTCAACGGCATGTATCTCCCTATTGTTTTGCCACCTGATTAATTGCCTAATGGTCAAGCTAGGGTTATCCCATAGCCTCTACAGTAAAATAGAGCTCCAAATCACTAGGTACAAGGACATAGACAGTAATAGCAAGTGCAGCAATAAAATTAACAAAGACAGCAATTACCTGTTTAGGGTGCTAATATTAGTAGCACAATGCAGTCTTAGAACATAGCAAGAGTAAGAAGAGTTATGGGGGAAGAATATGGCTCTGAAGTTGACTCCTAAGATGAGGATTATCAAGATCTGATTAATGAAGCTATTATTTAGTCTATATTTGAGCAGGAAAGAAGTGCAGAAGAGGAGAAAATGCTTAGAGAAGTGATGAAGCTCTCCTCTCTTGAACACAAAAAGAATAATGGTTAACTAGATCTTAACGCCCTGAAAAAGAAGAAGACTATTAATGAAGGGCAAGTTTCGAAATAAGTTAAAGGAATTGCTGTTGGCAATGAAAACTTATAACCGATAAAATAACTCCCACTTAATAATGTTTTACCTCCTATTGAAATTGGTGGTAAAAAAGGTAAACCCCTTTAGCTTGGTTAGAATCCACTAGGGAAATAAGATTTTAATATGAAGTAATAACAGCTGCCTCCACTATCTGATCCTTAGAATGAAAGAGATCTTGCTAAGTTATCTTAGCTTAAACCAGATAAAAATCTAGAGGAAGAGTAAAAAAGACAAAAATAGATGATGGACCTTGAAGAGTAAAAATTCCTAGAATTAATTACTCCAAAGGATGATGAGATGGAGGAGTTTAAAACTAAGGCAACAACTTAATCTAAAATGAGTAAGCAATCAAATATGAATGAAAAGAGCTTTATCAGCAATCAGTCAAAGTTATAAGAGAAATCTGTGGTTGCTCCAAAGACGCAGAAGGAGGAGATTCAAGAATTGCTAGGAACTTCTCCAAACAAAAAGAAGGCGAGAGATGTGTTTGAAAGTCCTAGCAGATTACCTGGGAATATTAATGAATTCGATGACTTGCTTGATGACTCTTTAGACCTAACTGATATTATGCCAAAGGAATAGGATAAGAACAAAATCAAAGAGATAATGGCTAAGAAAAAGGATAAGCAAATTGAAAACTAAATTAACTTCGATTTGCACAAAGGGGACAAGAAGAGCATATTCTACAATAACGACAATGATGATACAATGATCAGCAGTAAATAGCCAAATAAAAAGGATGTTTTGAGAGAGAGCGAGGATGACTTTGATAAACTAATTGGCCACATTGAGGGATCTCGTATCGAATCTAAAAATGTACAGAAGGCTGATAATAACAATTTAATTGAAAAGAGTGAAGAGGATGAAGACTTCTTTTGAAGCAAAAACTGAAGCATTAAATCAATCGACTAAATATATAGCAATCTATGTTGAGAGTACAAAAAAGATCTCTGTATATTATAAATATGCATTAAATATATATCATAGGAGTATAATTGATAAGATTAAATTCTTACCTAGTGGGGTTTTGGGGTTTTGGGGTTTTGGGGCA